GCAGAAACAGTCTCTTATATTCGAAACTAATCTTTATTTATCATGGAAACTTGGTGTAGATAAACCTCATCGATTGTAAGAATGTAACTGCTAAAAACGCTCCTTACCCTCAGCACCTCAAGTATCGACATTGCAAAAATCCTCGATCCATACTTGTACAAGAATGTAGTAACTGGATAAAGCTAAAAGAACTCTATAGTTTTTAATTATCCTCACTGAATGAAATTTAGAACTTGTAGAGTAAACAAATAGAAGCTAAATTTAATTCTAAATTCATTAATTTCCTGGATATATGTGAGCTTCTCCATACAACTTGCAGTCGGCCGAATGCTGCTCTCGATTTTGTTAGCTTTTCAATTACGTCTATTTCTGAAGCATGTAATAAAGCGGGGAAATCGTTGTCTGACCCTGCCATTATAAATGGTCATAAATTTATCTCGTACCACGGACTCATTAATTTTAGGATCCTCGGATTTTACCTCCCATATTGACGTTACATTTTCAGTTATCAATGTGTTCGGTGGGAAGTGAGTTTTCATTAGAAGCCTTATTGTTTCTTTAGTAGTTTCTATCCTACTAACCTCATCATCTACCATTGTTTCAGTTTGAGAGCACGAGTTTTCTAAAGAAACCTTTTGATTTTTGAGATGTATACCTTCCTATCTTCCTATTTATAAAAGAATTTCCAAAAGTTGCATTTGGAGGTTCTAGTAATTTTGTTGTATTCTTCCTGCTTAACATGGAAGTTGTCCCAGTATAAAATAATTTTTTTACGTCGTGCTCTGTTGTAAAGTCTTCGGGTTTTGTTTTCCTTTGTTCCGAATCTCCCCTGTCATCCATGTTTACTTCATTGTTTCCGCCAAGTTTGTTGAAATTCCTATCTATGTCATCAGTATTTAAGCATTCATAGCTAAACTGTCCTAACCCCACTCTTTAACCAGTCCCCGAACTTTATCCAATTAGTCTTCGAACTGTTCTTCCCGCTTACCATGGAATTTGTCCCAGTATAAAATAATTTTTTGCGACGTGCTCTGTTGTAAAGCCTTCGTTATTTTTCCTTTGTTCCCCTGTCATCCTAACCCCCATCTTTGATCAGTCTACCGAACTTTATACAATTAGTTTCGGACTTGTTTCGAAAGAATATGGGGTTCGGCGGTGGTCGTAAGATTTGAAACCTAATATAATTTTATTTGCGGCTACTCTGTTGTAGTCTTTGAATTTTTTCTTTGTTCTGAATCTTCCCTGCCTTGCAGATTTTTTTCTAAGACAGATTTCTTTTCTCGGAGAGGACAACTATATTGGAAGAACCTTACCATACACCTTGCAGTCGGCCGAATGCTGCTCTCGCTTTTGTTAGCCTTTTAATTACGACTATTTCTGAAGCTATCGACGTATTCAATTGCTTAGCCTTATAACATGATGTTTGCCTTTTTGCTCGATGCCTCCCATATGGAAATTCATCTGATGGTATCGAAAGCTTTCTTGAAATCGATGAACAGTAGGTACATGCGGTATTCTATAGATTGTTCTATTATGACTCGTAGGGTGTTGGCATGGTCCGCGCAGTTTCTATTTGGCTTGTTCATCTCTTAGAATATTTTCTACTTGACTTTGAATTCTTTTCTGTATTATGGTTGCCAGAATTTTGTATATGGTGTTCAGCCTGATTTTTCCTCTCCAGTTGTTACAATCTTTCAAGTCGCCATTTTTTGGGTAACTTCACAACAATGCCTTTCTTCCAAGTTGAAGGCAGTCTTTCTTCCTCCCAAGCTGAAATGATGTGAGGTTGAAGTAACTCAGCTGCGGTTCTGCTGTCGGCTTTTTAGCATTTCCGCCGGTAAACCATCTTATCCTGCTGCTTTGTTACTTTTTAATTCGGTTACTGGTTCATTCGACGGCGATATTCGTCCATAGATCTTTCGGAGAATCTTTCTCTCAAACACTCCAAGAGCTGTCTCCTCTGTTGCGCAAGTAACCACGCTTTAGATATTGATATAAGTAACAAAACTACAATGTATGTGTCCTGCGAAGCTTTATGTTTGTTGTCTGCAGAGGTAGCACTGATTGGTATTATACGCATACCAAATCAGTGCTACTTCTTCAGAACAATTCAATAAGCAAAAAAACAATGAGCTCAAAATTTTAATGAAGTGGTCCAATTTCATAAATATGAAATGATCCCTATCCAATCCCGATCCAAAGGTAATAATTTATCGAAGGGAAGTCACGTGATTAACTCCTGTAAAGAGGCTCTGGATCTGTTGTTAACCACCTAATTTCATAAATTCCGAACCGAAGAGAATGATAGGCTAATAAAAGTCTGGGTGCTCTGGTAAATTTTGGAGTTAACATCACGAAGACAGAATTGATAGTCTTCTCTAGGAAGCGTAAGATACCAAACTGCTCTCTACCCATCCTGAATGGAGTAGCTTTCCCCGAAAATTCCTTGGTCAAAAATATACGAAGGAAAGGAATTTAAAGAATCGCATTAAGAGGGGACTAATCGCAATTTTCTCATGCAATAGGAAATCGCACACTTCCACTTATCTAACCCAGAGGTACCCAGGCTCAAATTTGTGGGCCTGACTGGGCGAGAAAATATATGGTTTGTGTCATGAGGAGTGCTACTGATCGCATATGCCGGAAGTAATTCTTGAGTGATAATTATTTAAGAATCTACTCCAACCAGATCTGAGTTGATAGAGTTGTTCTACGAGGCTGGGGAGACATTTTTCGGAGTCACTGATTGCTGGGGGATGTTCATTAAGGACTCTGTTTAGGCAAAATCTGTCGACGGTTTGCTTCACCGCTCGAATGTGCAACTGTTTCAGACCTGTTGCTAATGATAATCTGTTGAGGTGGGATGGTTTGACGTCTTGGATGTTTGGGCGGAAGTATGTGATGCCCTTCTGCATATGCCGTGGAGAATGATCCTGCACCACGATGTGATGGTTTGGTTGACTTGACAAGCAACGCATTATGTTATTGTACTGACAGTATCCTTGTCTCCTCATGAAGACGAACCACACTCGAAATCTTGACACATCCGTTAGCAATTCTTAGAGCACTATTCTGGATTGTTTGAAGGTTACACCATTTGGTGTTGCTTAGGAATGAAGTATAAACGGGACAAACGGCATAGCTCAGTACAGAGCGACAGACATAGCTCAGTACATAATGGCGAGCGTCTCTTTATCCTTTCCCTAGGAGGTACCTGTCAGGGCTGTAAATTATACTTGACAAACGAATACCCTTGTCCAAACTCAATAGTGTGCACCGATCGGAATCGTTTCTTATAAAAGTGAACGTCAGAAGGAAACCCCTAGCTGTTTTGTAAATAATTCTTAATCTCTAGTCACTAAACCATTTGGTTAAGTTCCAAGCAACAAGATGTGCTCAGAGACTAAGAGAAACAATAAATTGGTGAACCACGCTCTCTGGACATGCTGGTGTATTTACATGATTGAAAATAGCCATTTTCTACGACAGATAAGTTAGTGACTACATATCTTTCTAAAGGGTTACTAGTACCTTAGCCAGAATTGACTGAATCTAGTACTGGCGGGAGGTTGTCCCGAGCCACGGATGTCAGGAGTCCCATGAAACAGGGGTTTCAGCCTGACGATTTTGGATTGGCCCCTATTGGCTGAAATGTGGAGGTTGTTGGTTAGCCCAAAGATTTCGCGGGAAAAGCTATGGCTCGAAGTGCAGTTGCATTATCAGGGGGATGCCTGACCCTTAGAAAGGCAGAGGTTTAGATAGTCCTCGGCCCCTCACACCAAGGGGAAAGTAAGGCCGTTATGGTGGATCTTCGAATTGGTACCGGCGTACGCATAAATCGACAATGGTGCACCATGGTTTTAGACGTCAGGGAGAGAATGATGTAAGACCCGACAAATTCATATATTCCTATCTAGACTTTGATGTCTTCAACATAATTATAACGAAAAGGAAATCCTGGACAAATGTATCGCTACCTGTCAATAAATGGTCTGTCAATAAATACATATTGCTCCAAGATGGAATAATTTCATCATTAAGCAAAATATACGTGTCCTGTTTTCATTATTTCCACATAGCTGCGGACCCACAAGTTAAAGTAATTTCTTCTCCGTACACCCATGCACATCTGCATAATATTTGTAGACATCGTCTTCGGTCCATTTTCTGACATTTCAAGGTATTTTTAAAATTAACAAATGATCTAAAATTTTTATTGAGATTGTGGGAAAAATATTAAAAACAAAAAACATAACAAATTATTCATGCATACCAAACTCAAACAAGCAAGCTACTACCAACCAAGCAGCCAGTGCGCCAGTGTCTAAAAACGTGCCATAAAATGGCATGTGACAGTAGAATAAACAAATAGAGATGTGTTAATAGTGATGCAACAATGTAGAGAGCTCGAACGATTCTCTCAAGATGTTGTTGCTCGGTTTGTTTGTTTGACTGTCTGTCTGTCGGTAACCGCAATATTATATTATTATGCAAGCACAGAGCTGCATATATAGCTAAATAAATGATTGCCATATCAGGAATGGACCGATCGAACGGAACAGAACGTATGAGTGACCTAGCCCATATTAACTGTGGTCACACATGTCGAGGCTGAGAGAGAGGGAGACGGCGCCCAATGAGGAAAAATGCACTATTTCAAATGACAGCCGACAACGGATGCATTATCATTGAAATAGCTTTTCAGTCAGTACCTTTTTTGTTCTCCCAGAAATAAAATAGAAAAAATAATAAAGCAAGAAAATAGAATCACAATCTAATTGCCATTATTAATAATTATTGCCGGGTTCCACGAAGTATGTTTTCATTAGCTATGCCATCTATGGCAATTTGCTGTTAGGTTATTTTTTCTTGATTGGCTACGCAACAATTGATTTTCTTTTAATAAAAAAGAGAGTCCTCCTTACCCTAACACCAAAAAGGGAATACTAGACAAACATGTGCATGTATATAAAATCCTGCCAGTAGCCATCGAAACTTACCTTACACGTGGCCAGTAAATTGTACAAGTCCTCCACCTCATCATTGTCCGTGGGCACATAATGTTTGCCCGTCTGTGTACTTTTGCCTTTGGTCTCCTGACGATACAATGGCAAGCCCATGGCCTTTGCCAGAATTTCAATGCCCATGTGACCAACGGTCTGATACATAAAGCTATCAAGTTCATCTGTAATGGGAAAAAAGTAAATTGAATATTAAAAAACGAAATAATAAACTTAGACAAAGGTAGAGTTATAAAAATTAAACAATAATGGATTAAAATTTACTACGACAGCTGTTGGGGTTTGAGCCTAGAATATAAATATATATAAAAATTTTCAATTATATCAAGGTGGCTCACAAATCCATATGATTGACTCAATGGATGACTTCCATAATTTTGCTATGAGCGGCATTTTATTCCAAAATGCCAGAAAAATTTTGATCCCACTATAAAGAGAAACCCTGCAGACAGTAGCAACACGTAATACGATGGAGAATTATCGTGAGAAAAGGAAAGAGGAGAATCGTATTTTCAGAAAAAAGAAGAAAGAACAAGAAAAACTTAAGGGTGGGCCCCCAGGGCCGCCCCCCTACGTACGTCCCTGGTGCAGGCATATCCACCCGTAGAGGTAAATATGGAAAGCTAATGACAGTTACAGATAGCGTGTTGAGAATCTGGAAGGAGCATTTTGAAAAGCTTCTGGTATCAAATAGTGGCGGTGAAGAAGATACCCCAGAACCAATAAGAGATGACGGTATAGATTGTATGCCAAATAGCCAAGATGAGGCCAGAGTAGCAATTAATCGGCTGAAGAAAATAAAGCAGCAGGTTGCCTGTGCGAAAAAGCCGATGAGGCACCTCTTGGACTGTTAGAGAGAAAAATTCTCCGGAAGATCTATGGGCCGATCTGCGTCGACAGTTAATATCGCCGTCAAATGAACCATGAGTTGTACCATATATTCTCGGACATCGACATAGTCAGACGTATCGAACTGCACCGACTACGTTGGCTAGGTCATGTTGTAAGAATGGATGAGGATTCCCCCACTCAAAAGGCATATCAAAGCGAGCCAAGTGATGGTTCAGGCAGTAGGGGAAGGCCACGACTCCGATGGAAAGATCAAGTAGAAGACAACATCTGGGAACATGGTCTTTCAAATTGGAAAAGCTGCGCGCAAGGCCGGCGCGCCGGGAAATCTTTTTTAAGCTCGGCTTATAGAACAAATGTTCCATCAGAAGCCAGCTAAGTAAAGTAAGTAAGAACAAAACAGGGAAATACCTCAAGGTAGACTGATTTTTCTGAAACTGTTCAACCACTTACTTTCTGATATTTTACAAACATTGCGCGGCATATATATCGTAATTTATGCGAACGATTGTAGGATCATAGCGTCGAATCTCATTTTTGACCCGAGAGGATAAATGTCTATAAAGCTGATCTAGTGACTGAGAAATATGATAGACATCCTTTTCAAGTCGTATGCGCAAGTCACTGTCTTTTCAGACTGTCCTGAAGAGCATTCAAAGTAGTAAGATAATACCATAGATTAGGTTAGGTTTGGAGATGTGCAGTCACTAATGTTACTACAGCACTCTGAGACCGTGGGGGAGAAAGGGGGGATAAAAATGATAAGAAGCTAACAAGGAAGTATGAGGAGGTAGGTAGGAAATAGTTTCGGTGGCTATAGAAATTGGACGGAAATCATATTACGTGCTAGGATGCACTACTTTAGATTTCTAATGATGCTGTAGATTAAAGCAGGTTCCACAGTTGAAAAGGAAAGTGAGCACCCACTAGTATGTGCCATCTGTAGGCCAGGACTGGACAGCGACACAGGAGATGCTCAATTGTCTCCGTCTCCACCTCGTCAACACAGAGTCTTCAGTAATCAATAACACCATGGTGCTTTTTACTGGTAAATGCCCTGATATTGCAATGGCCAATATTGACTCCTGTTATTAATTCTAATTTCAGCTCTGAGTTTGTTCCCTTGGTTGACCGAGTCGTCCAAATAGATCTTCACGAGTAGTCTTATCGCTGCTAAGACCATGATGGTGCAACTGCCTTACTTTTAATTGGGCACGAATTGATGTTTCAAAACTTAACACATGTCTATTATGTAGACTAGGAGCACAGGACATGTCGCAATTATTCGACTGGCTAGCTGAGCCTACTTACATGTCTCCGAATTCATTACAAACAAAGCCCTTATAGTTGGCAACCTTCCTGAATATGGGACAAGAGGAACCAATTGCCTTCTGTTACTACAAAAATTATAACAAAGGTATTAAGTAGTCCGATTGCAGTTCATAATATTGCCTACAAATATTTATCATATATGTACATTGATTACTCACCTCTATCCTTGGGATGTAAATTGGCCAATGCAACAATTTCATGACCCTCAGCCACACACTGCATCATATTGTAGCAGCTATCCTTGCCACCGCTTACCATGGCAACGACACGCATTTTGACCGAGTTTTTTTTTCGTCTGTGGCTTTATATATACGTATGTGGAAGAGGAAGGATGTTTTGGTGTTGTTGTTGTAATTGTGCAGGAGCGATGACACGAGCTCACACACACACGACAGATTTCGTTAAAGGGTATAAAGAGTTTTGGTTCTTAATTTAGTGATTTCTTTGATACGCATCCAAATCATTTGCGGGTTTTTATGTTTTTTTCTTTTCGATTAGGTTTATCCGATATGAAATCTCGTTTATGAAATCTGCAAGTAAATGAAAGGGTAATTTGGGATTAGAGATTAATTTGGAAATAAAATTAGATTTTAAATTTAAATAAAAATACACACACAAGTAAATTAAAATATAACCCAAAATACAAATCATTTTTATCGAACTTAAATCAGATCCTAAATTTATTGATGTGGTAAATGGGATATCTAAATTTAATAGGTTTTTATAAAAAAAAAATCATACAAATCCGACGATGAAGTCGCTTTTTTACTGAACGGGACTGAGGGAACATGACATTAATTAGGAAAATTGGGTTATATACCTAGAAGAACCAGTCTTGCCTAAATAAGGCAATGGTTATTTCTGTCATTTTAAATTTGCTTTTTGATTCTGTTCATTACTCTCCGACTATTTTTGCATTTTAGTACATAATTATTCGACTCATTACAATAGTGCACATACGTTTTATATCTATGATTTAAAAACTATCCTCCCTGTCACCATAAAAATTTAATTGTTTATGGGTTAGTAGTATTTTTGCCGGATGTCTGCTCATTTGGCATTAGTTCAACAAAAGTCAAGTAAAAGATTGACACGAAATGAATTTCTTTTGTCTTTTTCGGTTCGGTAAATGGGAGATGCTTTATTATGTGGCAGACGCTTCTATTGTAGCCGCCAATCGTTTGGCAATGTTTTCATAAATACACGACCCTTAACCACCCACCGATACATAAAATACAAAAGAAAAAGGAATGACCATATGAAAAACATTATCGGACATGATTTATGTACATATGTGAGGCAGAATTTAAAAAATAACCAGCGAGCGCAGCAGTATAGTCGGACGGGGCCGACCATACGATACCCTACACAACTACCACGGAATTCTAACCTTCTGCGGATATTTACTCCGAGCCTGAGCAATATTTCGTGATATTTGAACCCTCTTGCCCGATTACAGGTCAACAACACCTCTTCCTTACAATGACATATTTTCCGAATATTACAGTCCTTCTAATTACTTGTCCAGATTTGCATCACTGTGGGTTGCATGGCGAAGTTTGGCTTACAATTGTGGCCTATAAATCGACTCAAAAAATACAAAAAAAAAATAAGTTTTCGGTTCACTTCATCCCAAAAATATTATCTGATCATCACCGAAAATTATAGGCGTTGTCTTTGACCAAAACTGGAACCTCATGGAACATTTCAAAGCGATCAGCGCTATATTTCCGCGCTCCAGTGTGGTATTGGGTTAGTAAATAATACCTGAATACGTAAGCACCTGTAAATATTTATGTGCAACTCCCACATCCGAGTACATACGAGAATATAATTGGTATCAAGTTAAAGGTGAACCACTTGTCTTGTGTATACTATCAACTTCTTGGGTCTATGTCCTCCAGGAGTAAATATATACGATATAGAATACAAATTTTGTAATTTTTCACACAAAAGTCAGGGTTCATTTGACCCGACGGATCTTTATCAAAACAGGCATTGACGGATCTTTATCAAAACAGGCATGCTTATTCTATGGCCCCATATAAAAATTCGCGATTTTTGGGCCATAATTGCGGCCTCAAAAGCGACCAGAAAAACCGAAAAAATTAAATATTAGGTCCATTTCATCCCCTTAATCTTAACCGGTCTTTATCAAAAACAATAGGGGTCTACATTGGCCCGAACCCTCCTACATGCAAAATTTCGTGAAGATTGGTCCATAACTGTGGCCTGTATCGTGTTTACAAATTATAATGGACAGACGGACGGACGGACACACATGTCTAGATCGACTCAGCTAGTCGAGATATGACGATTGGTATACTTAAAAGTGGGTCTAGGACCAATATTTCGCGGCGTTACAAACTCTTGGGGCTGCACAAAGCTATATAATTGTGTAAGGTATAAAAAGGGGTTATATGGGGACTAGCCCTAAAAAGGGGCGTATATTAATATTTTTTGGGAGGGAGGTTTGTTACCATATACGACTACAAAAAAAAAAAACCAAATTACAAAGAATTTGGTTGAAAAACACGTTCAGGAACCCCAAAATACCGAAAATTGGGTGTACCCTTATATGTGGGCTATCCGAAAAAATGTATCTATATTTATAATATTTAGTAGGGAGATTTGCTACCCAATAAGAACTCAAAGTACCAAATTTCAGCAAATTCCGTCGAAAAATGCGATAAAAACACCCAAAATACCGAAAATTATGGGTACACTTATATGGGGGCTATCCAAAAGAATGGACCCAAAGTACCAAATTTCAGCGAATTCAGTTGAAAAACGCGCTCAAGAACCTCGAAATACCGAAAATTGGGGGGTACCCTTAAATGGGAGCTATGTGCTACGTGGACCGATGTATCCCATCTTCTAACGTGACCTACAGACAAAAGATGAATCTATGCAAAATTTTGGCGATCTATCTCAATTCGTTTAGACGCTATAGTGATTACAACCGACAGACGGACATGGGAGGCAGTGGGTGGTACTTAATAAGAATTTTGTAAAAAAAATTTTCCACACCTATTTTTTTTAATAAAAATTAATTTTTAAAAAATCCACGCCTATGTTTATTTAATGAAGATTAATTAAAAAACACGCTTATGTTTAATAAAAATTATTTAAAAAAAAATCCACCCCTATGTCAATTTAATAAGAATTAATTTAAAAAAAAATTCACCCCTATGTTAATTTAATAAGAGTTAATTTAAAAAAAAAACAATGAAACTACTCAAAAAATTTTTTTAAAAAATCCACGCCTTCATAAAAATAATAAAAAATAATTTTAAAAAATCCACGTCTATGGAACTACTCAAAAAAGTAATTTTAAAAAATCAACGCCAACATTATATTAATAAAAATAGTTTTTAAAAAATCCACGCCTACATTATATTAATAAAAATAGTTTTTAAAAAAATCACGCCTATGAAATTATTCAAAAAATAACATAAAAATAATCCATACCCATGAAACTACTCAAAAAGTAATTTTTAAAAACCTACATCTACGAAAGTACTTAAAAAATAATTTTCAAAAAAGTCCACGCCTATGAAACTACTCAAAAAACAATTTTAAAAAGCCTATAAATCTTCAAAAAAAAAAATTGTACAAAATCCAGGCCTAAGAAACGGCTAAAAAATAATTTTAAAAATTATTGAATATAGTTGATACGCCTCAATATCATATAAATTCTGCAGATGGGATACCCTGACTATAAAAAAAAATATTCCCTACAGTTCTCCAATATTGTCTTAATAGACTATTTAATAAAAAAACATATACTTTATATTAAAAAAAAAAACGAAAAGAAAAGAAAAATAAATTAAAATGCATCTGCTGTCTGACACTGAATCAATGCCAAGAACAATTATTTAGCTGGCAGAAGGGTAAAGAGACACACGCTGCTATAGATGTAAACAAATCCTGCTGATTACACTTTTTTCCTAGCAATAGGGGCGATTTCTTGTTTATTATTAAGAAGGAGAGAAAGAAAAGAATATTGAAAACAATTACCAAGTTTGCGTGTCATCGGAATTGTTTTCAACGCCCACTAATCTATACAAATCTGTGCAACTAGGGAAGGAATGCAAATCGGTTTGTAGTTTGTGAGGATGTATATATTTCGATACGAGAATATTACTTCATTATTTTGTAAATTGTTACAAATTAATAGAGAAATGATTTGTTGATATGACGATTTTGGGAACGAAATTTATTAAGATTGTTGATAATAAATTTGAAAGGATTTAAATTGTTATACAAATTAAAACCCGATACTAATTAGGAAACTAATTCAACGGGTATACATATATGTAAACAATATATTTGTAATATTTATAAACATTCATGGTAAATAAACGATAGAGCTGTTTTTGTCAGTGTGTTGACCCACATAAAAATCCCAAAGAATTTTAGATCTTAGCCGGATTTTTCAACTGAACTGGCAAAAAAGAAATATTCGATTTTCTCAGTATAAAAATCTTTATTGTAAAGTATTTAAAGTATACGTTCATGGTTCGTTTCCTTATACAGGCCATACCTCTTTTCGGAATTTTCCATATTTATGATAGAGCTTTGAAATTTTGTGATATATCGGTTCACTTCTTAGGATAGACTCCATATGACCTCCATAATACTATTGGGCCCAATATCCCAAATATCGGTCTGCGTGTAGCCCCCCTATAATCGAAACAACCGCCCATTTTTCTGTATTCTGGGGGCTTGGTCACATTTTTTAACCAAATTGGCTCTAATTCGTTTTTCAGGATCTCTTTAGTTGTCAAATCTTTTTACCACAAATTTTCAGTATAGAGTTTATTTTGTGTAAAGCGCTCACAAAGTTAACTCTATATTGAAAAAATTGTCTATAGAGATCCGATTTTTATACAGTCCCCCGCCAAAGAAGAAGCAGGGAAATTAACTTCGTTTTCAATCCGGAATATTCTAATACCAAATATCAAACAGGTTATCCTGAATACAGAGGGTATAGAGATACATCAAAGTGAAAAAGTAAAAGTTCTTTGGCAGAATCATAACGAATTCTCTATCAAAAAAGGTCATTACGATATTAAGTTCAGAGAGATTTATGAAATCATAAGTGAGATAGCAATCTGGATCACCTTTATAGACAGCCTTGCGGCTCTGGGAGTTCTGACGATTTTCTAGATGCTGAGTGTTATAATTTGTTGAGGAGAGCAAGTGTAAGCAAATGCCATATGGTTTGGACGCCGAGTCAACAATCTATACAATTCAATGATGTAGTAGAATTTCTGGCGAAACAAGCTGTAAATGTAG